TAAAAAAAAAAAAAAAAAAAAACTTAAGGCCAAAACATTACATCAGTCAGTGAGACCCACTTTCTAAAGCTCCTTTAGTGCTCCCAATTTAGAGCTCCCAAATATTTTTCTTTAAAAAATTTATTATTTATAATGTGATTAATAAATAAATAAATAATAATATCATAATTAATATTTATACATTAATTAATACATATAACACTATCGTATGCTTTAATTGGTTGCTACACCACCACCACACATAGAGTAGTAGATAGATAATAATAATATAATATGATATAAGATGGAAAGAAACAAGTCATAGATAATCTTCAACAGAAATGTTCAAAGCCTCCTCTCTTTGCTCCAACTGATGACTACTCACCATTCTTCCCTCCCGAACCCCAAAACATCCATCATTAACGTTGTTTTCGTTCATCACATTCTTCGACTCATCACGACTCCTACTGTCTATCGATGATGATGATGATCTTGTCTGTTGCGTTTGATTCATGGCAAACTGAGCATCAACCGCCATTCCAGCATCCGACGCCGCCTTCTGTACCGATCGCGGCGACATGTCGGTTCTCACTCCGACAGGCAATGTCGCTGGAAAATTTAGGTTGTTGTACGAGGAAGGTCCTCGTAGACAGTACGACGCCACGTCATGCGCCACCGCTGCTGCTTCAACAGTCGAATACGAGCCGAGCCAGAGCCGATCTTGAGTTCCCTGAACTCTGATTTCCGACACCCATTTTCCCCATTTCCGCCGCCGGACTCCCTTGTATTTCTTCTGCTCCGCCGTGGTTGCTCCGCCGCCGCTGCTTTCGTTGGAGCTGCTCATTTTTTTGCTCTCCTTTTTTTTGGTTGTTTGTTGAAATGATGGAATTGAATTGGATTTTTTTTGCTAGTTGGAGAATTAAGGAAGTGGTTTATATTGGTCGAGCAATGAGAAAGTCGGGGGGATTTTGGATTTTGGAGTGTATGGGAGGGCTGACCAGAGAGAAAGTGACAGAGAAAAGAAAGAGTCAATATTTTCAGAGGTCAAACACTAATTGTGGGTTTCAAGGCTTGTAATCAATAGAGGTAGGACGCTGGTTTTTTTAATTAATTTAAATGAGAGTAGTGTACCAATTAGGTTTCCCTTGGCAACCTCACATTTAATTTAAAATTTAGAAAGTTATTAAAAAAATTAAAAAATTAATAATTTATATTAAAAAATCCGAAAAAAAATTTTTCTCCTATTTTTTGGATATCTTTTCGTAAAAAATTAAAAATTTATTCTAATATTAAAAATATTTTAAATTTTATCACATTATTAATTAATATATTAATTAATATACTAATTGATACATATGGCATATAACACTAATTGGTCCTCATGACATAACCAAAAAATTAAGTTCATCCTCTTTGGTTGATTTATCATCTTTACTCGTGAGTATAGATTGTGCGAACATGTGTATAAACAAAATTGAAAGAAAAGTGAAAAAAGAATTATTGTATAATTTTATAATTTTATTCATAATGACATAACAAATTATATTTTATTTATTACAAATTTAATTATTTTGTCAAGTTATTATAACATTTAAATTATAACTTTTTAGTATTTCTCAACAAAAATTGTGTAATTTTTCTAATTAACGGGATTAGTCCATTTAGGAGTGTCAATAATATATGTTATATTTAATTTTCATTGTTACGATTGTAATGTTATGAGTTGTATTTATAAACTCAAACCCAACTTTATTTTATGGATTAAACATTTATTTCAAATGCTAAAAACATCTAACTTGGGATAAGAAATTTTAGTTCAATCCAAAATAACTTGCCTACTTATAAAATATTAATATTAATTTTATATTATTTAGTTTTATAATAAATTAAAAAAATAAGACAAGTGAATATTCCTAAGCTTTGACTTAAATTCAAACATATTTGAATAGCACAATTTTTTAAATTATTTAAAATGCCCAATAAATGTAATTAATTAAAAAAAAAACTATATATTGAGTTAAATGGATGAATTTGAGATTTAAAAGTTATTTCAAGGTTGAGGTTGAAATTGCTAAATTAGACTTAATGTCAAGTCGAGTTAAGTTTGAAATGTCACATATGCTCTGTTGGACCATTTTAATATTTATCATTATTATTATTATTATTATTATTGTGACTTTTTGTCTTATCCATAAATGAAGATTATTAGAAAGTCATGAGCATTGGTGGTGAGTTAATATTTGGAGGTTTTAGAACTCTTCATTTTCTCTAGTTTAATGGTTATTATTTTTTAGTGTAATTTGTAAGGTCCTTGTAGCCTTTAAATTGTTCCTCTCATCTACTCTTTTTTAAACCAACTATTTTTTATATTTAAGAGATTACTAACCAAAGAATGGTGTTTTTCTTGGTGTAGCTTTGGGTTCACCATCTTGTGTAGAGTTGGCATGAACCATACGACAAGTGGTCCGGCGGTTATATCTTAGAGGGGACAAGTCAAAATTTAGTGACTGCTGCATCGGTATTTGGGTTCTTCCTACCGCAGTGGGCTTGATCTCCTTTCCGTGCCTCAGCCTAATCTATTTGCGTCTCATTTTCTTTACATTATTTATTAATAAAATATGGAACAAGTACCAGAAAAAACCAATGATGGAATTAGAGATCGCAACAAGTCTTTCAAGTTCAAGGGAGTTCATTTTAAGAGGTGGAAAGGAAAAGTTCTTTTTTACCTCAGCCTTTTGAAAGTTGTTTATGTTCTTACCAAGAAGAACCCAAACAAAATCCTAACCGATGAGATGAATGATGAAGACTACGAGGCACATGAAGCAAAAGTAGTTTCATACAATATAGATGAGTATAAATGTCATTTTTATCTCTTAAATTGCCTTGATAATCAATTTTATGATTACTATGACACCACTTACACTTCTGCAAAGATATTTGGAAAGCTTTACAGACTAAATATGATGCTGAAGAGGCAGGAACGAAAAAGTATGCAGCTAGCCGAATTTTTCACTTCCAAATGGTGGATGAAAAATCTGTTGTGGAGCAAGCACAAGATTTCCAAATGATAGTTGCAGAAGTAAGATTTGAAAGCATCAAGATTGGTGACAACTTGGTAGTTGCAGGACTTGTTGACAAGTTACCGCCATCTTCGAGAGAATTCCAAAAAAACGTGCGCCACAAACAAAATGAAACTTCCTTAGAAGCATTGATCACTCGTATCTGAGTCGAAGAGGAGGCTAGAGGCCAAGATGCATTGATAACACAAGACGGTAATGCCAATTCCACCACAAAAGTAAACTTCAACAAATAATAACTTACCTAAAGGTCAAAATTCTAAGAATGCTTATTTGAAGCCTTATAAAAAGAATATGAAAAATTATGGTAAACCTCACAATAAATGGATTAATCCAAATAAGAACCAAGGTCCACCACCTCTACAAAATTTTACATGCTTTGTTTGTGACAAAAGTGTGCATATTGCTCGAACTTGCAAATTTCAAAAACGTGCACCTACCCTAAAGGCTAACGTTATCAAGGAGCCATTTGTGGTGATGATTACAAATATTTGCATGGTTAATTATGTGAAAGGTTGGTGGGCAGATTCTGATACTAATTGACGTGTTTGTTATGATAAAACTTGGTTTAAGGTGTATACTTCCTTTGATGATGAGAAAACAATTATGCTTGGTAACTCTAGTCAAACCAAGACACTTTGAAGTGGTAAGGTTGACCTTAAGTTCACATCTGGACGTTTGCTTACTTTAAAAGATGTGTTTTATACACCATCCATGAGGAAGAATTTGATGTCAAGCTATTTGTTGAATAAAGTTGGCTTTAAGCAAACTATGGAATTTAATCAATATGTGATTACCAAGAATGGTATTTTTGTGGGTAATGGTTATGCTTGTGATGGGATATTCAAACTAAATGTTGAGATTAATAAACCATCTACCAATTCGGTTTATATATAGTCTTCTATTAATTTGTGGCATGCTCACTTGTGTCATATTAACAGTAAATATATGGGAATCATGAGTAATTTAGGATTAATTCTTGTATTGACAAAAAAAAAAAATTTTAAAATGTGAAGTTTGCAGTAAAGCAAAAATTATCAAGAGGCCTCATAAAAGTGTTGAGAAAAATACCGAATTGCTAGAATTATTTCATACTGATTTGTGTGAGTTTGAAGACATTTTAACTCGTGGTGGTAACTGATATTTTATCACTTTTGTTAATGATTTTTCAAAATATACAAACTTATATTTATTAAAAAATAAAAGTAATGCTTTTGAAAAATTTAAAGAATTCCTTCTTGAAGTGGAAAATCAATTCGGTAAAAAGATTAAAAGAATTAGAAGTGATAGAGGCCGAGAATATGAATTTTATGGATTCAACTCTTTTGTTCAGTCATTGGTAATTATTCATGACACTACTCCACAATATTCACCTTCATCTAATGGCGTAGCTAAAAGAAAGAATAGAACGTTAATTAACTTGATGAATGCTATGTTTATTGATTCAAGTGCTCCGTCAAATCTTTGGGGTGAGGATATTTTGACAGCTTGCCATGTGATAAATAGAGTGTCACACAAAAAGACTAAAATTGTACCTTATGAGTTGTGGAGGGGGCATAAACCAAATCTACGTTATTTGAGGGTTTGGGGTTGTTTAGCTTTTGTGAGACTTGCAGATCCTAAATTACCTAAATTGGGTGAACGAGCTACTACTTGTACTTTTCTTGGGTATATGTTGCATAGTACAGCTTGTAGATTTTTTGATATGAAAAATAATATTATTTTTTAATCAAGTAATGCTATTTTTCATGAAAATAAATTTTCTTTCAAATCTAGAAATAGTGAGAGTCAAATAGTTTCTGAAAATACTTTATCCATGCTTAACTCTTCTACTCCATCGCAAGTTTTTTGAGAACAAGAAAATTCTCAAATCCAACCAAGGAGGAGTAAATGAGCTAGAGTTCAAAAAGATTTTGGCCTTGACTATTATCTTTACAATGTAGAAGAAATTCTTTTTACAGTGCAAGAAGCTTTATCATCACTTGATGTTATTTTCTAGAAAGATGCTGTAAATGGTGTGATAGATTCACTACTAAAACATGGAAGCTAGTGGATTTACCTCCAAGTTGTAAAACTATTGGGTGTAAATGGGTCCTTCGTAAAAAACTTAAACCGGATGGAATTGTAGATAAATATAAAGCGAGGCTTGTCGCTAAAGGTTTTAAGCAACAAGTTGATCTTGATTTTTTTGATACTTTTTCTTCGGTTACTAGAGTTACATACATTAGACTGTTGATAGTAGTGGCTGCAATTCATGATTTAAAAATTCATCAAATAGATGTGAAAACAACATTTTTAAATGGAGATCTAGATGAGGAGATTTACATGGACCAACCCGAGAGCTTTATGGAGCCTGACCAAGAAAGCAATGTATGTAAGTAAACTAACTAAATCCCTTTATGGTTTAAAACAAGCTCCTAAACAGTGGCATAAGAAATTTGATTCTTGCATTCTTGAGAAAGGCTATAAGACTAATGAATGTGACAAGTGCATATATTATAAAATTTGTGAGAATGTACATGTAATTATTAGCCTATTTGTGGATGATCTACTTATCTTTGGCTCTAATTTACATTTTATAAATAAGACTAAAAGTATGCTTAATGGTCACTTTGATGTGAAAGATCTTGGTAAAACTAATTTTATTTTGGGAATTAAAATTACCAAGACTAATTATGACATTTTTCTTGATCAGTCGCATTATGTTGAGAAAATTTTAAAGAAATATAATTTTCTAGACTGTAAACATGTTGCTACTCCTTTTGATACAAGTATACATTATCTGTTGTAACAAATATAAAAGAAGTGATTAATCAAAAGAAATATACTAGCATGATTGATAGTTTGAGATATGCTACTAACTGTACTAGACCTGACATTGCATATATTGTTGGAGTACTTAGCAGGTTTATTAGCAAGCTAAGTCGAGATCATTGGCTAGCTATGGGATAAATTATGAGATATTTATCTGGT